GGGAGGAAAGATAATAAGTAACTTAAGGAATAAACACCATTTGGTGTTGTTAATGGAAGACACCAAGACTGTGGTATCAAATTTTAGAATTGAGTATCATTACAAGACTAGAATTTTTCAATTCTCTTTTAACAAACACCTTTCCTAAGTGTATTTTTTAATATTTGTTTTGTTGTTTCCTCTGCTAGTGACTTTGAGATAAAAGAATTGAATGAGGAGCGTTTTGATATAGTGGATTTAGTTGAAACAGCATTCAACAAGCTGGCTGAAAACGTGGTTAGTGTAGTGCTTTTGAATTGATCATGTCCAATGAGAAGACTATCTTTGATTGTTGTGCACTCATTAAAATGTATTTACTTGTTTGATCATTCTGTAGCTTCTTAAAAATAAAGATGGCCTAGTTAAGACACTGGACATTATGGGAAATCCAAGAATGACAACGGTTAGTATGTCTAGATAGAGCTGTCACTGCTGGTGTTTGTTATAATCTTCTTTACTAAGCAACCACTTTTGTTTACAATCTTGTTGCTTGAAACTGTTTGACAGGTTGAAGAATTGTAATGAAAATTTCTTGCAGCTACATGTAGCTATGCAAGGGCTGTGTAATTAATCTGTTTTCTGTTGTGACTTTATTGCTTTTTTTTTCTTTTACCAGTCCCAACACATTGACAAGGCAATAACCTGTGCAGAGAGTTTCCTTACCTTCACCAACACAAGGTAATTGAGCTTTTATTTTCTAAAGAGTGTAAAGGTTTCCTTTTTCTGAGGTTGCCATTGGTTAGCTCAACATTTTAAAGCAGTCTTTAGTGGAAAGATAAAAGGGATGTCTCATGCATTTTACACAATCAGTTGTGTCAAATTGTGAAAGAAAGCATATAATTTTCAAGCTTTATCCTTCATGGATAGGACGAAAGGTTTTTACAGGTTTTTCTTTTTTTATTGAAACTGTTGGTTGAAATGTTAAGAAATCTAATCATTCCTTGTAATATTTGGTAACAATAAATTGCAGTAGCAGATGTTATCATTTCACAAGTCAAAGATTGTTCTTGATGATGGTCCAGTTGTACTGTGTTGTTTGATGTTTGCATTTGACATTCCCTTTAAGCCTTGTACTTAATTTTGCTGTTGAGTTTCGCTCACAAACCCTTGAGAATTCTAATCTGCAAGAGACAATCACTAATTTTACGTTGAATTCTTTTGAAAGGGATAGAATTAAGCTGAAGCCAGGACTAAATAAGAAACAAGCAGATGTTGCCCTCCTTTTAGCACATAATCAAGGTCAGGTTTGTCTTGCCTATACAGTAAATGACACAGGTCTGTATTTGCTTGGAAAAACTAGGCATGAGACCTGTCTGTCAGCCTGTTTTTTTTTTTGTTTTTGTTTTTTTCTGCTTTTAATACTGTTGTTCTTGAAAATTGTTTTTTGAAATGCTTAAAACTTTTGTAGTGTCTAAGGGGTGGCATTTCTAAGCCTGAAAGCTTTATCAAAGCATTGTCATGATAGAGAACCATTTCTTTTTTAAGAAAATTTTGTAAGGGGTTTTAAAACTCTTTGTATGCTTATCAAATTATGTTGCAACAAGTCCCTTATATTGGTCACTGTCATACTACGTTAGAAACAAGATGAAAGTTTCAATATCTCAATGAAAAACCTTTGAGAGCTGAGTTTGCACTGCAGAGGTTTCACCTACTTCAATTAAACAAGAAAACATTGTTTATTTTGGAGAAGTGGCTATCTTTAAGAGGCCATTGTCTGAGGAAGTTTGAATGTATTTGGCATAGAAGTTTCAAACAAAATTTTCCTATGCAGGCTAGTATATTGAGAGTTGTCCATGAGAGAGGGCCAACTAGATGACAGTTATTTACTTTACCTGCAGTTGCTGATCATATCAAACAGTTAGCAGCTGGTGTGGACCTTGCTGAACAATTCAACAAGAGGTGCAAAGAAGAAGAAGAAGTGAGTGTATGATTTGCTTGGTTCTGAAAAGGTGTTTGTTGTTGATTTGTCAGGAAAGACATCGGTGTTTATTGACTTAATTTTCCCTGGGAGATATAGAAACATTGTATCAACCCTTGCAAAGCTTGGTTACTCCTTGGCAAGGTCAGTGTCCTCCCTTGTGGGGAGTAACCTGTCAAATTTTGCCCTCTTCAGTACCTCTTATTACTGCCTACAATTGCTTGGAATTCTTGAAAATTCAACAGGTAAAAGGATCATACAACCAGTTTAAAAAAATTCTTTTACCTGTTGTTCTTAAAGTAAGGGAGAACAATGCATGTGTCATGTGGAAACTTTGCTTTCCTAGCTCTGTGAAGGGTAGAAGAATTTAGTTCAATTCCTCTGATATGCTATATTTTGTGTCACATTTGCCTCCGGTTTTTGTAAGTTTCAGTGGAAATGTTACGTTGAGTTGTGCACAACTAATTGAGACAGTGTATCCTGCATATTAAAATTTCTTTGTTCTACAAAGTTGGCAGAGATGATACTTACATTTGTCTTTCACTGGTATTTGGTACCCTTTTTAAAACCATTTAAAATTGAAATTTGATGTCACATTTAATTGGAAGTTAGAGTTCCTAAATTGAACTTTTTTTCCATTTTTTTGATTCAATCTAAAAATTCATGTTTTTGTACCCTGCTGCATCCCAGAAAACTGTTGACAAAAAAAAAGAGGGAAATGATGCATTTACCAGTAGAAAATATGCACGTGCAATTTCAGTGTATTCCATGGCTCTACATATGAGGTAAGGGTTACCAGTAGTTTTCTAAAAGTAGCATTTTGTCAAGTAGCACAAATTGCAACTTTTCTAAATTTTTAACTGGGAGGCACAGATTTATTTCTAGTCTAAGCCTAAATTTTTTCAGACTTCCTTTTAGCAATTCTTTAACCCTTCATTCTTAAGATCTCTCGAGAAATTCTCCATACTGTCTGCCATACACTAGTTCTGAGAATTAAGTGTGGGATCAAGTGATTATCCCATAACTGATATTAATTTTTTCTTTATTCTCATCTCATGTCTGCTTGATATTGTATTGATATTGAAAGAAGAAAGTATGTCTCAAAGTGAAAGGGTTACTTACAACTCCCCTGTGAGGATCATTTCTTTATTTGTACCCTACCTTCATTGGAAAATATTGTTCCCTTATTTAAGTGGAGCCTTCCAGTTTTGATATTTAGGTAGTTCCCCCTGTGGATAAAGGACTTGCAACCACAGACGCGTATTCAACAATAATACTTCCTTAGATATTAAAGTCTACAGTATTTAGATATAATGTTTATTTTCTCTCTACAGCCCATATAATCACGTTCTCTATTGTAACCGATCTCAGAGCTTCCTTAAAACTAAAGACTTAGGGTAAGCTCATAACTTCATGGGTATTTGGTGATGGACATTTGAGTAACAGCAGTTGATGCGTAAATCTTTTGAGTGATGTTTAACTTTGTTTTTCTTAGTGATAGAGCAGAATAGCTTTGGCCTCTGTTCTTTGTCTGGCAATATCTGTTGTAGTTTACATAGAGGGGACTTGCCATTTACTGACCTGCTAAATGAGTGAAGAATATGAACAGCACAATCTCTATGATTTTAGTGAATTGATGTTCAGGCCACCTAGTTGGGCTTTTCACAACAGCAAGTTGCAAAATTTGCCACTGTATGATCAAACTACTTCTTGTACCTTTCAATCTCTCAATTTGCCTTTAATGGATTGTGTGTCGATGTTTCCTCATCTTACTAGCATGTTTCTCTCTTGCATGAGAAAAGATCCCATACTTCAAGGTAGCTTAGACCCTTGCCACGCACAAAATTGAAGTAATTTTGGGGTTGTTTGTTAAACAGGAGTGCCCTTGCTGATGGCAGGAGAGCAGTAGTACTGAAGGCAGACTGGCATAAGGTAGAGATTTTTGATATAATTTTGATGATGATGATGACGAGGATAGTTTTTTTGACTTGCTTTGATTGCTCAGGTGTGACATACAGAGTGACATACAAGTTATATGTAAATAGTGAGACAGTTCATGATGGTTCATCTGTGTTCTTTAGGCTCAGTACAGATATGCTCAGGCATTTTTTGAAACTGGAAATATTACCAGAGCAAAGGAGGCAAACAGAGCTGCATGCAAAATTTGCTCTGACAAAAAAGATCTGGAGGCCCAGTACAGAATGTTTGAAAGAGGTATGTATTTGGGTTCAAATTTTTTCCTAATTCAGAATTTTTGAAACCAGTTTTAGTTTTTTTTTTTGTTTGTATTCAGTAAGGTAATCTGAAACTCAGACGAACAAAAACGAAATTGGTTTGAAAAATTTTGAAAACAAATTAGTATTATTCTGAACTCAGTTCTGTCAATAGTTGGTGGTAAAGAAGAAAAGGTGCTTCTGAAGGCTGCAAATGTTTTTTTCGTACATGCTGTGTTGGCCATTTGTCAGGAGTGATAATCAACAACAACTATGGTGACACGTTTCTTTTTTATTTCTTGTTCAAGACAAATATGATTTTGATTATTTCAAGAACCACTTTGATCAAAAGTTCTGCAGTTGAGCAGTGGCCCAGCTGTTAATTCATCAGTCAACACTTTTTCTCAAAAGTCTCTTTCCATACTTCTGTGTTGAGTAGGTACCTAGAAAAGTGACCCCTTAACAGAAGTTTATAAAGGAAAGGGGACTACCCGAGATATTTTAATGAAAGTAAAGGAAACTAGGTGCAACAGGTTTTTGAAATGTTGGTTTCCCTTGTCCTCTTAATTTAGTTGCTAAAGATGGTAAAGGAAAAACAACAGAAAGTAAGAAGCCATCAAAAACTGCTGTAGCTAAACAGAAGGATTCTAGGGATAGGTGAGTTGATAGAGAGAAAAATTGTGTTGATATGCAGATTTAAAATTCTTTATTACTGGGGCTTTCTTTGTTGCTAGATTCCTGTAGTTTAGTGGAGTTTGGGCACTAAAGTTGACATGTTGATGTAAAAAAAAAAAAAGATAAATTACTCACTCTCCTCTGAATACCCTGGTTTAGCAAGGGTTCAAGTAAACTGCGTCTAATTTCTGTATTTTGTTTGCTTGTTAAGTGAACCAGAGGACCTTCCAGCTTTGGTAGATCCAGAGTCCAGTGACACAAGCAGAGATAACTCTGATGACGAGGGTGTGCCTGACTTGGTGGACCTGGAGAGTTCAGAAGACAGTGATGACTCTGATGACAATGATAAAACAGAGGTGAACTGAGTCACTCAAAGGTGTAATTATTTCTGCTTTTTTTCCAGTCTTGGCTACAACATCTTTCTTCCATAGTGATAGAGTTGAAAACAGAGTAAACTATGGTAGAGTAAGGGAGGTTGCAAATTTAGAACCTTATTACCACATCATGCAGTCCATTGGTCAATTTTTTTTTTATCTGATATTCTTATTAGACAGGTATCAAAGTTAAGTTTTGATTGTCATGTAATATTATTATTTCTTATGTTTTTCATTTTCTAGGATACTCACTCAGAAGCCTCTGATGGTAAGTCTAATGTTACCTTTCTTTATTGAAATAGGATTTAACCCTTCATTCTCAAGATTTCATAACTAACTCTCTGTCTGCTATACAGTTCTTATGGACAGAGCTGAATAATAGACCACTTTCATAAATGGCTGCCGGATTAATATTCTTTTGGTTAAATTTAAATTAGCCCTACTGGCCTCGCTTGAGATAATGTATTATTTTGAATTTTGTACTGGAGACGAGGCTAGAAGGGCTAATTTAAATTCAAACAAAAGAATATTAATCCAGCAGCCATTTATGAAAGTGGTCTATGAAATGGTATGTCAGTGGGTTGCGGTCAACAACGCAGGCTCAAGTGTCCTAGGTCTAAAATTTAGTGAAATTAGCGGAAAATAATTAGGGCTGACTTTTAAAACTGAGGAACTCTGTTTTCGTCGAAGGCATTATTCCTATTTCCAGAGGTTTTAAGAGAAAATTAAGTTTTGAAAATTTTTAGGGGGTGTACCAAGTTTTTGGAGGCTGTTCTGTAAAAGAAAAGTGGCAAGGAAAACAACACCTCGAAGCAACAGAATAGGAAATCATTCATGCAAATGACTCAAACTCCGTGTTTACGCAGCAAAATCCAGCGCATGCGTGTACATTATTCAGCTCTGTCGTTCTTATGATGTTGGTTCAGAGAATTTGTTATTTGATCAACTAATAATCCACTAATTGGTTTTTTCGTAATTTGTGTTGCTAGAGAGTGAGAGTTGCAGGGTTGATTGGAATTTGTGTTCAAGCTACTTTCTGACACAGTACAGTGATGTTATATGTGATCAATATTTTTTTATTCTGTCATGAAACACTTAGTAAAGAGTGTTTTTTTTGTTTCTACATTATCTAGGATATGAATCAAATGAATCTGCAACCAAGTGAGTAAATATATTATTGATTTGTTAACTTGGTTGTTTAATTTGATAACTTATTTGTTTGTTAACTTGTTTAGTTGTTGTTGTTTTTGGAGAGAGAGAGAGAGAGAGAGAGAGAGAGAGAGAGAGAGAGAGAGAGAAACTAACTTTTTGGCTGATGGTCTGACTGATCCAGTGTGGTTTATGCTCATAGTTGAGTGGTGATTTTACAATGAATGAATTAACTGAGGCTTATTTCCTTTTGTTGATTTACAGGAAGAAAAGTGCTGTGTCAACAACGGTAAGAAAATCACTAAAAGATGCATGCATGGCCTTTTTTGGTTGATACTTGTTTCATCAAATATTTTATGGGTATGGAGTAAATACATGGAAAATATTACATTATGGTGATTTTTTTTTTTTTTTTGTCCAAGTTCAGGAGCATTATTGCAAAAAAAATGACTGCATACTACCCTTAGATTTAACTTTACCTAACATACCAATCAATTCAAAGCGTCAACAAACCTTTCCATTCCCCTCCCTAGCAAACCATGGCCATTTGACTATTGACCATGTGCAGGGGATGGAGAATTAAACCTTGCCTGGAGTTGGGGTGGGGTATTTTAACTAGAAGTGTCAAGTCTTTCCAACAGAATACAAGTGTTATATCATTTAATGTGGAGGTGTTTAAATAAGGGTAAATAGCTCACTTTCACAAGCAAATGGCTCAGAAGAAGTGGTCTAAAAGATCTAGACTTCAAAGCTTGGTCAATGCAGAGAAAGTCATGATCACTGATTTTGTGTTTTAGAAAAGGTGACCATCAAATCCTGCACTTGGGTGTGGTATTTGAACTCAATATTTGGGGGGGGCAGGAATTTGAACTAACAAATCTTTGATAATTCAAATGCTCAGGGGGTTGCCTGGGAGGAGGTGGGGGATGTTGTTGAATCTTCAAAGTGATCAACACATTATTGTGGTGATCATGCCATGACAAATTTTATAAGTGTAAACTTCTTTTTAGCCCAAGAAACGTGACCCAAGTAAGAAGGTCAAACAACTTATTAGAGAAGCACTTCAAGGTCAAGCTAAAACAGAGGAAAAATTTAGGAAGGGAGAAAAACACAAGAAGCCTGTGGAGCCTACAGTCAAGAAAGAAGCTACAGAGCCAGTTAAACAGAATAAAAAGGTAATGCATTAGCAGTTTTTTACTTGCCTTTTGTTATTTTTTATTATTTCACTGAAAATTGCTTGTTGTCAGGCTAGGTCTTAAGTTAAACAAATTTATCTCTTACAGGCTTCACAGGTAGACCAGAGTGGAAATCATCCAAAGTTAAGAGAATTCACCTCCTATCTCAAACAAGTAAGTATGCAAAGTGAAGTCTTTCGAAAAGATCAATCAATTACTCCGTTATTCTCAAAAGATGGGTTTAAAAGTTTCTACTCTTTACATGAGCGAAAACTCATGACTTTTAATTGTTAACAGGAACATCAGAAAAAGAAAATCAGTGATACATTGCATTAAAAAGAAATCAGAGGGTACTTGTGTTTGAATGATTTTTTTTTTATTTTAGTTCACATTAAATGTTTTAACCATTGGGGAAAATTGTGGTCAAGGTTGATAAATTATCATGCCTTTGTTGTTACGTATTCAAGCAGTTTGCAGGGTGCAGCTCATGATGTTGCTCATGTTGTTGCTTATCCAAGCAGTTTCTAGGATCCAGCTCATGATGGAGTTGACTGTTGCTCAGTGATAGTCTGATAGACCTTTTGAGTGTAAGAACCCAAGTGTTGAGATTCACTTCATCATGAGGGACTTGGATTTTTCTTTGTTTTGCACTCAAGATTAAAGCAAATAACTTCTTTATTCAAGTGATGAAAGTAAGCAAACATTAGCCATGGAGTTGTTTACAAATTTCTTAATTTCATTTCTTCTTTACAGGGAAGTAAAGCTATGGTGGAAAAGAAAAATGAGATTGCTGCTTTTAAATATGGAGAGGCTATTGCACTTTTAAAAGAGCATTTTAATCGATACTGGGTAAATACACTTGGCAATGAGAATGAGAATAACTGTTGAATTATTGTACAAATACACTTCTTTGCTCACAGGGACTTGACTCCGACCACACTGTGTGTAGGACTGCCTAATGTTTTACTGGGTAGATGTTGTAACTACAATTGATGTAGCTTTTGAAGCCCTTTGAAGTGAAGACCCATAGAGGCTGAAAGTGTAACGATTAGAAAGTGTAAATGTAGTAATGGATGGGTGTCTGTCCACAGGGGAGTTATCCCATTATCATCATTGTGTTCTCTAAGCAACGTATATAAGCTTGTGGGATCATGTTTCCAATAGTTATTGACTAAGCTAGCCATAATTTAGTTGGAATGAAGTAGTTAAAGACATTTGCTTATTTACAATGATTACTGAGGAAAAAAATTTTGTTTTTCATAGTGTGAAGTAGAAACAGATACACTGTGGCTCTTAAAATCTTAAAATATTCCATAGCACTTACCTGCTGTTCGAGAATAGTCTCCTTGTCTTGGTAGTTCACTAAAAGTTTTTATAAAAACAAGCCTCTTCAAAGGTCTGTGTCCAGTTTACTGATGATATAGGAGAGTTCTCAGGTTTAATTGCTTGAACCTTTTTGTTGCCTCATCAGGTCTTTGAAATGAAGGAGATTGATTTTGTTATATTACTGTACAGTTTTGGAGCAGCTCTATTGGAGGTTGGTGGCCAGGAGGTAGGAAAGTGTTTCTAATTTTGTAAAATTACATTGTGCAATTTTTGGTTTGAAAAGTAGGCACCTCCAGGTTATAATGCTTCAATGAAAAGCAGTAGTTTCCATAGTTTTTCTAACATACTAAATTTTTCTTTTCAGGAACTACTGGCTGCCAAGAAACATTTTGACATTATTGTAGTAGAACATAAAAATGTAGTTTTCCCTTTAGCATATTTAGGAACAGGAAGGGTGTTTTATAAACAGAACAGGTATGATATAGTATTTGAAAATCATCTAAGCACTGTTGAGGCTATTTGAATGCAATATGTGTGGCAGGCTAAAATTAAGCTTGCTCCTTTTTGAAAAATACTCCCAACATTTTAAAAGAGAGTTATGTTTCAGAAATGACATAATTTTTATCTCCCACTATCAAAAATATCTTTGAAACTATGACGCTGACCCACATTAAGATTCTAATGAGTTACCAGACATTTTGAACCTAACCTCTGACATTTTCAATTGTGCCGAGAAACTTGGCTGAAGAAAAAAATCTGTATTCCTGAAGAAAGGGACATACATTAGAGACAAAAAGGTACAAAACTTGGAGCAAAATGGATTCATCATTGTAGAAACATTGGGTTTTCTAGGATTCCAGATAACAGAACTCTTTTGTATGTTATTGGCATTGCATAGGTGGCCTAAATTTAATGTCTTCCCGACTTGAGTTAATTTGTTCTCATTCAGTGCTAAAACATAATGCAAGAGTTATTGCTAACCTAAGACTGTTTTTGTGTATTTGCTTCAGTTTCTCAAAAGCGCTAGAACCTTTAGAAAAGGGCCTTGATTTAGTCAACAAATTGGGTGATGAGAAATTAGCTTCGTATAGATGGCCTGGTTCTCAAGTCATTATTGACGACACTAAACCTGGAAAGTTATTGGTAACAATCTTTTCCTTATTTTTAATTAATTTTATTATTTTGTACCTATTCGTGGCCTATGTATTCCTGTATGAAAAAACTGGGTTTTGGAGTTTTGCCCATTCGCTCCGACGAAGGGCTAACGCTCGAAACGTCAGCTTTTGTAATCATTACGGTGGCCAATTTACCATTTCAACTTTGTTGATATATCCGCATTATGTTTTAGTTTTGTTTTTGTTTTTGTTTTTGTTTTTTTTTTGGAGCTGTGACATGCAATAGATTTTTCCTTGCTCAAATTGGTTGTAAATCACTTAACTTTTAATTCTCAGAAGTAATTAACATATAACTTCTCCTTGTATTATCCCTACATCATCCAACAAAAGGGTAATGAGAGTACTTAAACTTAGCAAGGGGAAAATAATATTTTGATCTCACACCAAATTCTTGTATCTTATTTGCAAGGATACATATAGCAGCTAGAGAGGAGAATTGACAATCAGATCTTGGGAGTTAAACAGTTTAACCAACAAGACATATCAGGGCTCAACACTAGTGGTAGCCAACTAGCCACAGACTAGAAGAAATTCAGTTTTGGCCAGTGGTTTTCAATTTCTACTAGCCAGTTTGGTTGGTAAATAAACTGAAATTATTGTAACATCTAAGTTGTCATTAGCCACTTGGTTAGTGTGTTGAAAAGTTAGTGTCAAGCCCTGCATATATTTGGATAGTTTGTGTTAAAATCCAATTTTATTGCTGGGGTAAACTTCCTTGACTTCAGCCCTTCATTTACTGTTGTCTTTTTTTCTGGAGCTAATAACTTGCCAGTCTTTTGGAGAGGAAGAATACATCAAAATAGCACTCAAGCTTTGTGTCTCATTCTTTTTTTCGTTCTCATTCCAGATTGCAATTCAGACGTTAATTAGAATTTGTCGTCATCCACCACGACCTGATGCTATGTGCAGATATGCTGATTGTCCTAATAAAAGAGAGATTTATCTTACAGATCCTGGTAGGTGTGCTTTTAATCTGATAAATGATTTTCCCATTTAGATACTACATATTTTCTCGTGAATTAGTTAAGAAAATTTGTAGTTCTATCAAGAACTAGAATTCTGCCTAAATGATAAGGATACCGTCTGGATACCAGAAGTTACCAGCCTGTTTCAGGGTCTCAATTCATGAATATGGCACCATTTGGCGGTTGAATGAAAATTTCTGGGATCATGGCAAAGAAAGGAGAGAGGTTCACTCTGCTAATTATAGAAGATGAGTGCATGGAATGGGCTTAAAAGATAAAAACAAATGTTAGTCTCTTCTGGAGGGTTCAGAATAAAGTTTATATTTCTTCTGTATAAATTATGTCCTCTCTAAAAGATGAATAGTTTTTGTTTTTGCTTTTTGTTTTTGCTTTTTGTACCTGCTTTCTTGTCATAATCTGTTTGTTACTTTTTAAATACAGACTACAAAGGATACATACGACTGATCTGCCAGGACTGTAAAGTAGATTTCCATCCAGGATGTTGGAAAAAGCAAAAGGGCTCAGGAGAAGGAAAAAGTGGAGACAAGGCAAGAATAAAAATGTTTAAACTAAAGCCATGCAGGATTTTTAAGTTGCACTTGAACTACTAAAGAAAGGTGGAAATTTCCATAATTCAGTTGAAAATTTGAAGAGGTTGTGAAGAAAATTTTAGATAATGAGTAGCTCCTGAAAAATAAGGGAAGAAGTCTCTTTTTTTTTTTTTCTCTAAACCGCTACAAGTGTTTGATTGCTGGTCAAGATCACGGTGATGAAGCTAAATTACGTAAATTTCCTAGGCCAAAAAGTTAGAGGAATTGATAAGAAAAGGAACTAGTCAGATGTGAGGCCCTTTATCTTCCTCTCTGTAAGGTTGAATCGGAATTTTTGTGTTATGTTAAGAAAGAAGAAAAAGAAAACTAAGAGAAACCCAGGGAGGAACAAAGAGAGAACCAATCAACTTTATTAATGTGTCAGACTCTTCTATTAATAGGGGACACCTAGGTAATAAAATCTACATGAAGCTTAAGGTTAAATTTGATACTGTTTAGAATAGAATATTTATTAATTATTAATTATTATTATTAATTATTATTTATTAATTATTTATTGTGTCAGACTCTTCTACTAATAGGGGACACCTAGGTAATAAAATCTACATGAAGCTTAAGGTTACATTTGATAATGTTTAGAATAGAATATTTATTATAAGATTTCATTAATAGCATTAAAATATTAAATCTGTATATAAAATAAATAATAACGATAACAATTAAATGGTTTACAATGTAATATAATCAATCTAAAATATTTAAATATTCTAAAATATTAAATCTGTATATAAAATAAATAATAACGATAACAATTAAATGGTTTACAATGTAATATAATCAATCTAAAATATTAAAATATTATTCTAAAATATTAAATCTGTATATAAAGTAAATAATAATGATAACAATAAAATGGTTTACAATGTAATATAATAAATCTAAAAGTGAGCGAAAGATTAACTTAATAAGGAGAGTCCCAAGTGTTACACAGGTAGCAATTTGAACATTTGTTCTCAACTATAAGACTTGAAAGGTCCTTCTTTCTGATTCGTGTTTTAAAGGTCAATAATGAAAAGTTACAGAAATAGAAGCCAAGTGCCACTGTAACTGTGCTATATTGAATAAATTTCTTTATCTGTTATCTAGGACTTTCTTGGTGACATCTGCATGACTCCTGATTGTGAAGGCTCTGTAACTAATATCCAGATCTATGATTCAGAAGGTCTTAAAACAGAGGTGAGCTGTCATAAGTGTGATCATGAACTTAACCTTAATTGGTACTTTCATTTGATGAAGCAGATACAATTGAGCCTCTCTTTATTTAGTTTATTAACAGTTTCTTTTCCAACGGTTGTTGTTAATGCTGTTCTGTTAGCACTTGGTAATGCGTTCATTAGGAGGTGTTATTACATCGCTCGCAGCATCCGTAGGAAGATGATGCGAATCTTGTGTTCTGGTTGGCTACCCAAGCGGGATGCCCGCTCGGGATTGCCCGCATTGATCCCGCGCACGAAAATAGAATTAGAACTAGGTTGGTAATTCTTGCACAGTTTCGGCGATGGAAACGCAAAAAGTGGCAGAAGATGGTCAAAACAAAGAAAACAGAAGCGACTCTCGTGAGTTTGTTGTGCTACAAATACAGTTGGCTTTCTTTCCCAGCTCTCGAAGTAAACAAGTTGTTCTTAATTCTTAATAAAGTGAAATCTTTCTGCAATATGATAAATAACCAAGCTTGTTCTGTCAAGATGGCGGGATATCAGCCTGGGTTTTTTTTTTTTTTTTTTTTTTTTTTTTTTTTTTTTTTTTTTTTTTTTTCGCAAAAATGCAGAAAAAGAACTCGGCCAATATCCAGCCACCTTGACCTCGCGCTTGGTTGATAACGCATATTTATTGCAATACATGATTGTACTGTCTGTTTAGTTTGTTCATGACAAGCCGGCCACAAAACAGGAAACCAAACCAAAACAGTCAAAGCAAAATAAACTTAAAGCAAAGTAAGTCGCTGGTTTTGGTTATTTGATGATACCCCTGACCATTTTTTCATAATTTGTAAATTGAGTCATGATTTATATTCCATCAACTGATGTGGACACTCTAGGAACTTAAAGATTCAATTGGTCAGTACGCTTAGCTCAAAAGCTAGTTAACTGTTACGCAGGTACGATGAAGCGTATCTGCATGATCTCAAGCCGAAAGTTGTTGATTTTTCTTTTGGAAGGTCCAGTGTTGTGGTGCCTAGTAATTGTGGTTCAACTAATAATTTTGTCGTTTATTAGTGTTGCTGGTGCTAAACAAAGGAAGAAAAAAGATAAAGATGACGTCAAGATAGAGGACTTTACAACATATGAATCATCACCTTCTGACATTGGTGAAGAAAAAGTGGTCCACAACCCCCCACCCTTACCAGGTCAGTTTACACTGCTGTTCTCTATAGCTGTTTCTGAGAAACTGAGAATAACGGATAGTTGTGCATGTCTCATTCGAGTTGCAAACTGATTCACCCAAGGATGGCAAACAAACTTAATCCTCAATAAGGCCGGGTGTCTTTATTTGACAATCACTAGTCGTAGATGAACGGTATGACGAGTTCCATGTTATTCATTCCTGGCAGTTTTATTTCTATTCCTTGTAATAATGGTGTGACGAGAGGCTCCTATTTCTTTGTGCTAATTTTGTTGTAGGACAAAAAGAAGAGAAACAGTGCAAGGGAGACCACAACCAGCTGGAAAAGGCGAGTGACATTTCTACCTGGTTTAGATGGATAATAAAATTTCCTGTATAGCTGGCGGATGTGTTTGCTCTTAAGCACCGAGCGGCAAAGCTCCGCTTTTTTGTCTTGTTCGCGCCACTTCTTAATCCTCATCACCAAAGAAGACGTCGACCATCTAGGCTGAAAAAGAAAAAAGAAAAGATCTCCCATGGAAGCTAGGCACAGGGTTTTTAGGAAACACCTTGGCTCATGTGGATCGTCCTTTGTAATTGTTGGCCTGACATATTCAGGGAATTTTTGTCTTAAACACGAAGGCACGCTGTATAAGAAAGTCTTCCCTGGGAAGACCTTGGCTCATTTGTCACTCACCGTTGACGTGT